GATCTGACAAATGCCTCTTCTGTAAATAAATAAATAAATAAATAAATAAATAAATAAATAAATAAGTAAGTTCCTCTGCAGAACTAGACATTTATATCTGCAAGTGTCAAACACTCTCCTTGATTCAACATTCAACTCAGAATATATTGTTTCCCACTTTTGGGAAAAAGGAAGGGAATGATACTTCCATTCCGGTTACAAGCAACACTGGAAAAAGATTTATTCTGTTGTAGCTCACTCAGCAAAGAAACTTGAATTTGGAAAGCCTAATTGCTCATCCTTTTGTTGATATGACTGATTTCCTTACTATAAGATTCTCCACCCTACAATACCCTTGACTTTTCCTTCCTAACCAGTTTATCCTTCTGCCGATCCATATCTCTGAGCAAATCTGGGGCTGTTCAGCTTCCTGAAACCGGATCAGCAAAGTACTAAGATGGAAGGGGGGGGGGGAGAACAGGGAGTGCCCACATTCTCTTGCCAGCTATAAAGCTTGTGAAATAGCTTTGCACGCACCACATGGTTAAGGTGAGTTTTCTTAAAGTGAGAAGCAAGAGCATTTAGCTGCATTATCACAGTTGTAGCCCCAGTCAAGTTGGATTCTCAGAGAGGTAAAGGGAGCAGATTCAGAGTGCGTTAAAGGTGTAGGCAGGGAATGAGGTGATGGAGCAAGGAGGGGGCTAGGAATGGAGCACGCCATCAGAAGAATGGAGTTTTGGGGAATGTTCATGGGCTGAGTTACATAAGAAAAGGGGGGGCAGTGAGAGGTCTTTCAAAGAGGAAGGCAGGCAGGCAGGCAGGCAGGAAGGAAGGAGCAGCAGTTGGGATAAGAATTTATTTCCTGAATAAGTACAGATGATATTTTCAGCCCATACTTGGAGAAAAACAGCTAAACCTACTAGATTAACTGGGTAGAAATAGCAGTTCACCTTTTATGAAGTGAATGTTCTGAAGGAATAGAAGGTGAGGTTGACCTGCACATCTCTCACCATAAATGGCTGCTGAACACCCAGATAATTTACTTCTCTCCCATCTGTCTTCTTTTCAGATTCATCCTCCCAGCAGAATGTCTGGCTCAGGCGTGAAGTGCGTCACCACCCCTTGCATCACCAGCTGCCCAGATGCCAAAGTGGTGGTACATCCACCCCCACTCATCCTGACTTTACCTGGATTGTCCCTCAGAACATCTCCGAATCAGTGCCTTCTGGAAACCCAGACTTCGTGCCTCACCAATGGCTCCGAGGTGGGCTGTAACGAGGGCTCCACGGCCATTGTCACCAAATCTTCAGGCGTGTGTGCTCTTTCTGGTGGAGATACCCCCTGTTGCACAACGACCTGTCCTGATTCACAAGTGGTGATTCAGCCTCCGCCAGTCTGCATCACCATCCCAGGTGCAGTCCTCACCAGCTACCCCAATGAATGTCTCATAAAAACCTCAACCCCCTGTGTTCCCAGCGGCCCCCAACCACCCGCACTGACCCGTTCTACATCGGTCTCCGATTGCTCCCTTACTCCACGACGGCTATCTCGCTCAGCCTCCGTCCCATCAGGACTCGACAGCTTGTCTCGGTGTGTAACACGAGGACCTACAACCAAAGTGGTGATCCACCCTCCACCAATCGAGGTCACCATCCCTGGTCCTGTCCTTGAAATAGCCGCTCAAGAGTGTGCTGTGGAAGTCTACAACCCTTGCTCCAGCAACAACGCCCTCACTAGCAGCGACCAAAAGGCCATCACCAGCAGTGACGAGGGTGAAGTCAAAGCTCTGACCACACAGGCCAAAAGTTGTACCACAGTGTGTGGGCTGATGGACACTTCATCCTGCATCTCCCAGGGACCAGAGATGAAAATCATTATCCAGCCCCCTCCCATTGAAGTAGAGCTTCCAGGACCCATCCTTGAAGTTTTTCCAGAAGCGTGTAAGATAGAAACTCTGAATCCAAGTCCTCTGGAACCTGAGGCCATCACTGGTAGTGAGACCAAGGCCCTGTGCAGCAGCAAGATGACCTCAACAGCCCTTGCTACCACCTCCAACGTGAAACGCCCTCTGCCCAACCTCCGACGTGCCCCTCGACCTTGGGCTGAAATGTACAGTCGGTCAATGACACCCCGAACCATTGCATTATCACAGCAAACCCGGTTGGCAAAATACCGCAACACCTTACACTCCATGAATTTCCAGCCATCTTTCTAAACTTTCAATGGACATGGAGCTGTAAAGACAGCTGGCATTTTTTATAGACATATGTATATATAAAAAGGGAGGGTTCTGTGCAGCTGCATCCAGGGGGGAAAAACCACCACCTGCCGTGCCTATGGAACAGATGGGACATATATCTAAATTGTTCTTCCAGGGGTTTAGAAGTTGTAGAATGTTTCTTCTTGCATCTTTCCACCGTGGGCCCCATTTAGGTTTAAAGCACAGGCAAGCAAGATTGTAGACTCCATGGATTCCAAAGTAACATTGCTTGTCCTTTTAGTATCTGATGGTTTCATGGCAGTGTAGCATACCAGAAAAGCTGTGGACAAATAAGGCTTAAAATGGGGTCTGATTCACAGCCATCTCAAAGAGCTCCTAGTTACCAGCTGGTTGTAATGTCATAACTGCTCTCAGAATTATCCTAGTTTGGTTACAGAGGGGAAAGGGAAAACTCCCAGTAGCCCCACTAGTATGGTCAATGAGGAATGCAGAACATTGTAGTTTAGGAACTTCTGGAGGGCCACCGGTCCCACGCTTCTGCCATCCTGGATGACCGTAATTGCCCCAGGATCATGTTTCTACCAGTGGCCCTGAGATGTTTTCTAATAAACTTGGTTTCCATGAATTTGTCCAAACCTAAGCCATCTGCACATCTTGCCTCAAAAAGTGGCACTTTGTAGCAGTTCAAAATCACTTCTGGATCAGTCCATTCTTACAATCTCTTGTGTCCAAGACCTGAGTCAATCTAAGGTGTGTTTTCATAGAGCAGCAGAACTAAACAAAGATAGTCTGTTTTTTGAACCCCTGCAGGACTTGTGGGTGGCCCATTCTCCTATGGGCAGGAATGCCTGGCTCTCCCATCGCCATCCCACCAAGGGGGAACTCTCAGTGGACCTCACTTCTCAGTTCGTTGGCCTCACTGTAACATCTTCTTTCATGTTGATAGGAGCGAGGTCCATTACAGGTTCACAATTATTTTGAGAGAGTAGGGAATAGAAGTGGTGGTAGAAGAGGACAGTGTGGAATGTCTGCAAGCCCTCCTACTGATGGAAGAGTTTCCATTAGCAGATCTAGGACAGAAGAATGCTCTTCACCCTATGCAGTTTCCATATACCCTCAAAAACTACTGTGGATGGGATCAGCTTCTGAAGAGCATTGAGAACGCCACATATGGTTATATATAAAACAATGAGGTAGAGATATAATGAGGGTCTGTTGCTAATGAGAAAATGTTGCATTTAGTAGTACAAGACTACTACACTGTCTCAGAATTCAGTGTGTCTAGAGAGCCACTACAATCTTCAGAAGAAGTTGTGATTATCGATTTGCCATGACATGCCCGTAAAGTCTCTGCTAATCAGATTCGATACTGAGAGGATATGAAGGTTGGTTCTTCACATCTATTACTACTATGCTATTGACCCAACAGGGCTTCTGAGTAAACCTGTGGTCTTAAGTATCCCCCCAGATCAGCTCCAGCAGGGACTTACTCCAAGGAAAATATACTTATATAGGATTACACCCCACAAACAGTGTTGGAATTCCTTTCAGAAGGAGGTGGTAAATTGGAGAAAGAAAATTAATCTCCTAAATGATCGTCAGCTTTTAAAAGACTTTTAGGTATTACAACTAATATTCTTTGTCATTTAAACACAGCTAAAGTGTTTATTTTGTGCAAAATGTTTTTTTAAACAATGCTAATTGTCAATGTGCCAACTCTTCCAATAATAAACAGAGTTAAAACTTCTCAGAAGCTCCAGACTGCTTTTGTACTACCAATTGATTGATTGGGGGAGAAAAGGAAACTAAAGTGATTCAAAACAATGTGTCATTTCATGACAACCAGACATTTTTCTCTGAACTGTGGTGCTGGAGAAGACTCTTGAGAGTCCCCTGGACTGCTAGGAGGTCAAACCAGTCAATCTTAAAGGAAATCAACCCTGATTGCTCATTGGAAGGATCGATAATGAAGCTCAAGCTCAGATACTTTGGTCACCTAATGTGAAGAGAGATCTCTTTGGAGAAGACTCTGATGCTGGGAAAGATTGAAGTCAAAAGGAGAAGAGGAGGATGAGATGGTTAGATAGCATCACTGAAGCAATGAGCATGAAACTGAGCAAACTCAGGGAGGCAGTGAAGGACAGGAAGGCCTGGCGCAATATGGTTCATGGGGTCACGAAGAGTCGGACACGACTTAACAACTAAACAAGACATTTTTGGAGTACATTCAACCACATGCTCTCCAACTTCACTCAGAAAAATTGTATCCATCTTTGTGTTTACACTGCTCACATCCAACCCTTGGTCACTCTGCATTTTCTCACCCAGGAGAAAAGCTTTCCAAACTCTACAACACAACACCACACAAAACCACCACCTTCTTCCTAAATTTAAGAAACCTTTCTAGCAGCCATCTATGCCTTTGTTTCTATATAATCTGCCCATGGACTGCTTCCTGTGAGTATTTATGATAGGGCATTTAATTAAAGAGACAACTGAGAGTCTCTTTGTTTGGGAAGGTCTTAGTGATGAAAAAGTGCCCTTAAGCAAGATTTCCAAGCAAATCTTGACCAACAGTTTCATGGTTTATACTTCCTTCCCCAGATTTCTAAAGAACCAGGTTCAACAAGAAGTTACTTTCTACATGAATGTTCATAACCCCACATCTTGTGTTCATCTGATTCCATTTCTGGAACTCCAGACCAGATAGGCTGACCAGATAGGTATCCTTAACTGCCCTAAATGTCATGAAGGCCCATCTCTTGGCCTTTCCAAATTCTTTCTTGACCTCCAAGGTCCCAACCCTAAATCTTCTTGAACTGTGAGAGTTGCCAGACTACAACTCCCATCTGTCCCAGCCAGCATAGCAGGGAAGGTCAAGAAATGTTACTCGGTACTATCTGGCAGATCCATGCATGCAATAGTGTTGTGTGTAGGGAATTATGGTGACAGGATTGTGGACCTCTTGAATTTCTGCCTTGATGTCCTGGTAGAGATACACCACCAGTGCATCAGAGGCATCTCTATGAAATAGTTTGGAAGGGTACACCTGTTGAATGTCTAGCCAGACACAACTCTTTCCAGAACCATTTCAAGGCAAAAGACAGAGTCAGGCTGTTGAAGATTCTTAATCTGGGGATATCCTTAACCATTACATTGACTTCTCATTTCCACACTTCAAAAGGCGCAGTTGTGACTGTAATATCTCAACCCTATTATCATCATTGAATGTTCATACACAGGACAAATCATGGAACTATCATTAAGATTATTAAAATGGTAAGCAATAAGTTATAAAGTGCTTTTAATGGTGACCTTTACAGGGTGGAATTTCCTCCTTTCAAAAATATGTGTAGCTCGTAATGATCTGTTTTAACAACATGCTCACACCATTCCTCCCCATTAACTATGCTACAGTAACCTGGCATATATTTACTTCTACTTTCATCTTAAATATTCTCCTTAAGCAAGCGGCTTTTCCATAGACCTAGCGTTCATTATATTAATAATTGATTACATTCCACTCTGATTAGATGGAGTTAATAACTGCTTTTATTGTTGCTTGATTTCAGAGCACTGCTAATAACAAGTAGGATTATTGGCAACATAAAGGAGTGATCTAGCTGCACACCCTTACTACAACATGCCCAGAAATGATTTTTGCTTTCTTCTTCTTGTTCCTATTTCCAAATGCAGAATTTAAAAACACACTGGGCTGAGAATTACACCCAATGGTTAAGGTGGAGCAGAAGCTGTTGGATATTTTCCAATACATATATTAGTCTGAGAAATGCAGAGCAGGTCTATGTAGATTGGAGTAGGCAAAGATCTCCTCTTGGGCAGCGTTGATCTTCTCCTTTAAGGAACCCACCTTGATCTTTACACACCAGCGTTTTCCACACCCTTGTGCCAGAGATGCAGAAACAGGGTGAAGCATGGCCCATCTACTCAGCCCAAGATTCCAAGAGTCCTTTGGAAGGGAGATGAACCCTGGGAATGAAGCACCTTGAGGTTCACCAAGTGTTTGCAAGATCTTCCCCACCTAGCTAAAGCAGTCGTTTAATTGAGACAAGAACAGTAGCCGTGGGTTGTTCTAAGATGCTTGCTGTATCCATTTCTTTTTGGCCTTTTCTACATGATTTAGCAACACAAACAAGCACCAATGGCAGAGTTTTACTCATGTTTAGTTATATTGGGCTGAGCATAGAGACCCATTTTGCCCCAACAGTGATTCACCCTCTAAGCACATTAAAGCTTGGAAGCTGATCTTGTCACCTTTCAACTCACCTCTAATTTCAAAACCTGCAGGGATACTCCATATAAAAACACTTGTGCCCAAACAGCTTGCTCATTGTCTGGCCAAGCTCCATCCCCAGCAACAATCCACAGGTAAGACCTCCTTTGCAAGGCAGCAGAAAGGAGATGGGGGTGAGATTGCTTCTGGTGGGTTTTCAAAGAGATGGAGGCTAGAAAGACCTTGGCTGGACATTGCAAGATTTAACAAGAGAGACATGCTGTTAACTACTGCAAGGAAATACAGTGTTCCAGGCAATCTTCTAGGGTGCTCCATTCCACTCCCCTTTTTAAAATTTTAAAAAAAGCTGTATGCCTCCCCTGTGAAGAGTGAAAGTAAAAAATGTTGAAAAGGGATATGTTGTTAATCAGATGGAAACAACACTAGGTAAATCTACTAGGTCTATGACAATATCTTATTATTTATGCACTGTACAGCTTCAGATTGTTTGATTAACAAGGGATCAAACAGATAGGCTTTGTGAGAGAAAGAGATGACAGCAGAAGAGGAGTTATTGGCTAAAACTTTGATTTTAAGTAGAAGGGATAGCCAAACCAACATGGATGGTAGAGCTGTTGCCTAAGACTTCCTCAGAAATCCTATAGTTCTCCAAGACTTCATTCCTCACCATTCCTGGTGGACATTCATCTGACATATAAACAATCCATACAGCAGAATTGGAAGCTACCTCAGAAGAAGG